ATGTTAAGAAAGGTAGAGGTAGACCTAAAAAGACATGGTTAGAAAATATTAGAAATGACTTTTTTATTAGATTTAAATGAGAATTTAACTTTTAACTAGACACAATAAAGAAAAATGGATTCATGTAGCCGACCCCACATAGTAGGATAAATGCTTGATGATGTTGTTGTTATAGTTAAAAACAGTTTTAATAAATCTGACAAGTTGCAGACCTTGTCAATTTAGAATTCATCAACATTGTTATTCAGACACTCCAAAAATCACCAGTTCCCTCTATACGATAAATTGTTGGTGAGTTCAACCTTTTAAACTTGACCCCTACTTGAAGTGAACCAAACCTAAATATAAGAAACTTTAGTTGTTGATAACTTAGATCATAATTGGAAAAAAACTGATTTGTTGAATGCATGCTTGCCTAGTTAAGCAAGTGGCAACTTAACGTAGGCGACTTGTGTGATCACTACTTAAGGCTAAGTCTAAAAGTGCGAGTTTACTCTCTATAAATGAGCTAGAAAATTTTGTCTAAAATTTTAAAGCTTATCAGTCTAATTTTTTTTTCATTAGAAAATTTCGTGCTCGTGCAAACTTGGAATCTTACATCTTTGATAACATCAAATTAGACTCGGTGAATTCATCCCTAAGGAATTCAAGTACTCTTCTGCATGAGTTTTTTTTATTATCAATTTATCATATTTTTGCAACTTGGCATTTCATCAATGCACAATTCATAATTATATTTACAACTCAATATACTTGGGGAGCTCATACCTTGATATTCATCGATTCATTGAACTCGTTAAGTCAAAAAATTTGATAGGTCTATAGTTAAAAACAATCTCAATAAATCTAACATGTTGCAAACCTTGTCAGTTTAGAATTCATCAACACTCAAAAAATCAACAGTTCCCTATATATGAGAAATTGTTTATGAGTTAAACCCTTAAACTAGACCTCTACTTGAAGTAAACCAAGCCTAAAGATAAGAAACTTTAGTTGTTGTTAACTTAGATCATAATTGGAAAAAAAAACTCATTTGTTGAATGCATGCTCACCTAGTTAAGCAAGAGGCAAATTAATGTAGGTGACTTGTGTGATCACTACTTAAGGACTAGTCTAAAAGGTGCGAGTTTACTCTCTGCAAATGAGCTATGATCCTCAAGTAGATGTATGGTTAGCATTTGATGAAGTAGTTTCCCTAATGCCTAAAATAAGGTTACTTAAAAGCAATATGATATGTAATAAAACAAGTTGCTCATTACAAAAAATTATAATCCTCGCCCAGCCAATAGTTATCATCTTAATTGGTCATTTATGGCATGATACAACTTATTACTCACTAAATTGTCAACAAAAAAGAACATTCCATTGATATTTATTTTCTTTAAGTTAATTTCCATTACCTTGGAATTGGTTTTCTTTAGAATTCCTTGAAGTCAAATAAACAACCATTATGACAAATACTATTAGCAACAAAAAGTCTATTCTAGTTATCACGACCTGGCCTGGAGGCTTGAATTAACGAGACGAGAAAAGACGCTTGGATGGTGATTAAAATTCATTTGCTAAAACTATCTCCAATAAATTGAAAGAGCCACTAAAACTTCAAAACATTTAAAATTCAAATAAGATAAATTCATTTCTCTCGGAACATCTCACCTATAATATGCATTCTCATCGTATGTTCATTTTAGTTAATTGAATTATATCTGTAATTAATTTTCATTAGGAGTGAGTCGTAACATAACCCAGTGAGTAAATTATGCTTCTAAATTACAATAACACTAGACATCAGAAATATGCATGCTCAATTTAAATCATAAAATAATTCTATTTAATCATTTCGGTTGTGACCTTCAATATTATGCATATGTCATATATTCATCCATATCTTCATCCTTTCTAGTAAATAATATAACCGTTACATGAGCCACAATCTAAAATAGTATCAATGAAGATATTATTTTTTTATAACATTTTTCATTTATGTGCATGGTACATTGCGTTCCCAGCCAGTATCATAATGAGATGTGCTCCATCATTCAACATGCAAATTCATATAACCAATTCATTCATATAATATTCATTTATTTTCTATGAAAAGTGTATATCATAACATATTAATTTTTATTTCATTCAACATTGACCAATCATTGGATATGAAAATGTCAAATCATAATTTAGCTTGCAATAAAGACTTAATAAAGTGGTGTTGCTATCTTTCTATGCATTTAATTTATGAGAGAAACAAAATTTTTATTATAAGTAAAAAAACATGAGTACTCATCTTGATTTAAATAGCTTTTGTCCTTTTTGGCTTTGTTCTGACTTCAATGATATGACACCTATATGAAGATTTTAAATGTACACCATTGATTGGCCTTAAAATCTAATTATGATTATATTCAATTAGATGGCATTACATAAAGATTTTAATTTTAATTTTAAATTATGTAAGCATAAATTTTAAATAGTAATTAACATTAATCTTAATTTTATAATTCCATAAATTCTAATTATTTAATTGTAAGATAAGATCTTAAGTTTTAGATCTTTCTTTGCTTTAGTCAATTTTCTAAATGTTCTCTATATATCATAAGTTATGTTTTTAAATATAATTTTACTCATTATTCTCTTCAATGAAAAATTTAAATTATACTATCTCATAAACTGATTAATTAATACTAATAAAGTCTTTAAATCTCCTAAAATAGAAATAATTATCTATATAAATTGAATTTAAAATTTCTAAAAAATCTAACCTTTCTTTTTAAGTATTTTTAAATCATCTTTCTTAATTTATAACTTAAAAAATATTTCATACCTTCTCCCTTCACACGCAACTCACGCGTGCCACATGCACTCTCCTGCTTGCTGATCAATCCTGAGCTCTAACTATCACGCACGTGTCTTCCTTCTTCCTCGCTTCAGCACTCACCCTCTTGATCTCCCTCATTTGTGTTCAAGCTCATTTCACGCTCCCTTTTCCTTCTCTTTCTCTCTATGTCCTCCCTTCTTCTTCCTCTTGGTCACGGCTACCCCTCAGTTGTTGCTTTCATTTGCTTGTTTGATTCCACAGGAGTGAGCGAATCAAAGTTATCTCCCACGAGGAGTCGTTGCTTTTTCGCATTTGAACGCATTTCCTTGCTCATTCGCATGATTCGATTTCGCTAGCTGCTCCCGCGTTCGTGGTTTTGCCCGCTTGACTCATCTGCTTCATCCGCTGCTTTGCCCGTGATTTGATTAGGGCCGGTTCAATTGAATCAGTCCAACCGGTTCTTAGACTAGTAACAACTAACAAGTCTTGGAGATTGTTACACTCTTGAAGATGAACGCTATGGAATAATGAGAGGCCCATGCATACAAGGTGTTGAATTGTCCTAAATAGATATATTATGGATAAATGATCGAGTAAGAATTAGAACGATCATCTATATACTATTTACAAGAAAGAGATTTTCCATGTTATTGTCATTGCAAAAAATTATACTCACAAGAAAGAGCTAAAGTTGCATCACAAATAGTAAATTTAGTAGAGATTGTGGTTCTACTTATTTCTATATAAAATTATAAGTGCCTATTGAGTAGGACCTCTTGCAAAGACCGAAGTGAAAACATTTAAAAAGTTATCTTCAACTATTGATTCTCATTATTATCTCTATTTTCATAAGCTTATTTGTCCGCGGACTCAATGTTTCAGTGAAGGAACTCACATGTCTCCACACCAAGTTGATGGCGTCTTGTTTCATTAAAGCCTAAAAAAAGTCAATCATTTATTCTAAATTTTTAGATATTTTGTTAGCTTATTCATTATTTATTCAACCGGACTTTAAACTCAACAATCTGTTTATCCTTGACTTGCTTTCTGTCAATTGCATTTAAGTTTTTTTTTTCCCCGATTTGCATGTATTTTGATTATTAGTGATCACACAAGACATACTTAGAAATTTCAATTCCATGTGATTCTGATCATTTGGAAGATGTACTTGAAAATTTTGATTTGATGTGATCTTCATACATAAGACACAAGGGGTATTTTCGTCTATAATTTAATAGAAATTATGTGGCACTTGCATCATTTTTAAAAATAGCGTGACACCTGCACAGTCGTTTTGAATTGTTCCATCTCTTTATTTATCTCATCAAGATTCCTATTGTTGATTCCGGGCTCACTAATAGTCCTTTACTTTATTATAGCAAAACATCTGGCAGTACTTGCAATATTTTAGTTTTGTTAGTGTTGCAACTTGGATCAGGTTAGATCTTTTTAGTCTATTCAGTTCAACCATAGTTGGAATCAATACTCTCAAGTTACTTGAAAATAGAGTTGGAGCTAAAATATTTTTTTCGGTTATGTTCTTTGGTCTTGTTAACGCCTGCAGATTTGTGATTATTCTTGTCGTGGTTTGTGCTTCTCAAAGAAGAACGCTTTGATCATTATTTACAATCTCACCCCAATGAAATCAAGTTCAATCTTAACAATCATGTAGCATTTAAAACTCAATAAAACAATATCATATTGCAATGTGCAACTGTAGATATTTGTGTTTCATCAATTTGCATGAAACTATACAATGTCTGGTGTTGGTATCACATTAAATCATGCAAAACTTAAATATTTATAATAAAAATGACCAAGGTACTTTTTTTTTGAGAAGATTATTTCATTGAATTTGTATATATATATTTCAGAACCTTTAGGCATAGGTTTGGGTTTGTTATGGGGTATCTGATTAGTAGAATTGTGAATCAACCCATTAGACCAGTTTTAATTATTCTTTTAACTTTGAATTCTAAGAATTAAACCAAACTGATTGCTTTGTTAGGTTACGATTGTTTCTTCAGGCACTTATTTTCACATCTCTAGTGGTAATTTTTTCTTAGGATTATTTGAGATAAATCTTTATATATATATATATATATATATATAGTGATTGGAATTACCTTTATAATATATATTGTGTAATATTCTTCTACTGATTTATTATCTTCTCAATGGATAGACATGGTGATCAAGAAATCTAAGGCGCCCACTGTAGCTGTTGAAGGAGAAACTGCTATTAATGATAAAAATGAGAAGATTGGTTCATGGGACCATGTATGATCTGTAACATTTGACCAATTTTACCTCTTATTAACTCTTTTCATAAAATTTTATTTCTATTTATAGAAGCAACAGGAGAACTTGGAGCAAGCACTTGCACATATCCCATTTGAGGAGTTACAAAAGGCACGAGCTGATGGCTCACATGTTATTCGACTCAAAACTGCATACATGCAACCTGATAAACCTGGTCGTGCTAACAAGAATAGGTCCTTCTATAACCTGAGTTAGGATATTAATGTATTATATTTTCGGCTCTCGTAAGAAGAATGTGATCTTAATAAATGCTTGTGGTTTTGTGGGTTTGCTTCAAATAGGCCAATGGAGATGAGCAGCAAGGTCCGTGTTGGAAGATATAAAGAAGTTATCCAAGCTCCAAAAAGGGTTTGTGGCTTTAACATTTATTATTATTTTTTTAATTTAAAATTTTCCCTGTTTAGTTCTTGGTGAAGTGACTTTTTTTGATTGGGTGATGTTTCGTACATGGATGACCTGTCTTAAGTATCTCAATATAGTATTTCAGCTTTGATAAAATTAATCTTTCCTTCATTGTTTGTGAAGGAAGTTAACTTGAAACACCTTTGCTAGTTCACAAAGATTTTACAATTATAGCATTTTAGGATCATGAGAAACTTGTTAGAATTTCTTCATTGAGCTTTTAGTAGGATAGTGTAAATTTAGTCTTTATTGGAGTTACGATTTGGTGTTGGATTGAATATCTTGTTGAAATTTGATTAGATTGATTTAATTGACTTGAGCATTACAAATAACTTGCATTTAACTTGTTATTCTCCTTCAGAGTACTTGAAGATAAATTTTTTTGAAGGATCATGTGGCCCCTAAGTCAACCAATCTTGGTAGGGATCATTGAGCACATGGATTAAAAGTTCTAAATATTGTGTCTGTCCTCTTATGGACCTTAGATTGCAATTTGTGTGCCTTCTCTTTTTATTCTAACTGTCGACCCCTCTTGGAGACCTTGCCTTTGAATTCTTTTTGGAGAAGTCTATAATTTCTTCGACACCTTATGCAGAATTAAGCAATAGAATTCAAAGTAGTTTTTGCTACGGTTATACTTTTCTACAATTCTTATGGCGCTTTTATTCTACATTAGCTGATAAATATTTTTGAGATATCACCTATATGTCATTAAAATTTCCTAATTGACATATTTCAACTTAATCTGCATATTTGTACATAAAATAATTAAATATTGTAAAATGGTTCCCTATCCTAGTTAAATTCCATTCAAAATTATTAATATTTTGTTAAGCCATCCTCCCACCTCTCCCCTTCAACGCTTTTTGGATGATGATCTCATAATAATAAACTTCTTTAAGATCAACGTTTGACGATTGATAGGCTTCAACTAGTCGTTGGAGCACCATGAGTTCCAAATGTAAAAGAACGTTTTATTGCCAGATTCCTATTAGTGCTAGAATATTGATGGGCTATCAGGCCACCAATGGTTGTCTTGTCATTAATGTCCAGTGGACCTCTGTCAATCGTTTGACTGGTGAGGTGGCGGGGATGGTGATGGGGTTTGGGCAAGGTGTACATTAGCAACCAAATATGGTTAGTTTGTTATAAAAAAAATGGTTTTGGCTGGATGGTGTTGATTTTGGTGATGTGTAAATATGAAGATTAGAGTGTTGGATGTGTAAGTAGGTGTAGCGGCGGCTCGTTGATTAAAACCCATTAATTTCATATAATTTACACGCTTTATTCAAGTCAAATGTGATGCTTAAAGAATCATGCAAACGTTAGCTTGTTTCAAACATTGTTTTCTCATCTTCTTCTTTCTTACGATTGCTATTTCAATTATATATGTCAAACAATACAAGGAACAAATGATCCTATCTCTCGTAACTTTGCCATGTTAAGTTTTGGGTTCCATCACTTTGTTGAATATTGAATATTGGTACTTCCCATTCTCTTCCATGTAGATCTTGTAGTTCTGATTGATCTTGTGGTGAATGATCTAATTTCTATCTTGCATCAATTTTAAACTATCAGTTTCAAATTTTCTGAATTTCTTGATAAATTCCCTCTTTTCTTTTAATTCAAGAAATATTGCATTTGCAGGTATGCGAGTTTAGATCTATTGTGTTCCTTTCATCATATAAAATTGTTGGGATTTGTGTAATATGTAATTTGGTGTTTCACTCTATCATTTTACACAACATTTAATGAGTTGTTGAACGATTGTGTTCATATCATCCTATATCTCAATAATTTCTTGCATTATACCTCCAACATGCATAAATCTAACCCCCAAAAAATCAGGATAGGGCCAAGAAAGCTGATCATCGTAATCATCATACTTCCAATTTTGACCTATATTGCAAATCATAAGCATGTATATTATATCTTGTAAAATCTCTAATTAGGAGCACTTCCTTTTTAAGAGCCATTTATAACTGCAACTTGGATAGAGATAGAAAAGAAAAAAAAAAGAAAATCCCTTGTGATTTTCTTAGTTGAATTATTAAACTGAAAATTCAAACGATCATCATGTGTAGTAGCATTTCAAGCTTCTTCCAATCAAAGTAGATGGCCTACATAAGGTTCCTTTCACTTGATACAGACTTTGAAAAAGCTAACTTTTCATCTTTATCGGTTAATGACTAAGAGGCTCAATTACTTGTCATGTAATTGCTTTGCTTGCTCCCCCTCTAGAAAAACTCGTGCGCACTATTCTAGGCTGAAACATAACTGACTTGTCGTTGAAGGTTTTCTAATAAACAAAAAGAGTTTAGTGAAGAAGTATCATACCAAGCATATGCAAATTCTAGGCTTGAAATAGATGTAATAGAGTTTACTATGGTGCATGAAAGAGAAAGAAAACAAAAAAAAAAAAGGTATACACCAAAATCAGGCAACAACTATTGATGCTTCTGTTTGGGCCTTCCATTATTCATGCCCGTGCATATCAAAACATTTGCTGGTCACAATGCCAAAATAATGCATATTTTTTGAGAACCCAAAAATGAGAAACAAAATTCATTAAAGAAGGATTAATTTTCCTTCATTGTATTCTAAGATTGAAGACAAGTGTTTATAACAAGCTAAAAAGTAATAATGCAGCTAAACCTATAGGTTTAAGTTGGTGATATCATAATAATCTCAAAATGGCCATGCCTGTGAACTTATTTTATAGCAATTTTTTGGAAAATTGACCACAAGGAGCATTTAGTCTTTCTTCCATATTATTCATAATGCAAATCCCTCAGCTACTATTAACCACCTTATTTTCCCCATTGGTCTAGAACTTATAAGCGGAGCACAGATGAGGTTGGGTACTAATCAATGTTCCACAGAGCTTTTAGAAATATCTCATGTATTTGACATCTTTGTCAATTGCATTAAATTTTTATGTGCAATGCAGTCTAACCAGCTCACCAAAAAAGCTTCGCCACATGTTGTACATCAATTGTCTTTTTGCAAGAGATAGAATTTGCTATCTTGAAAAATCTATCTACCTTGATATTTCACCTAAATGTACTGAACTGGAAGACATGGATAAGATTTTTGTCAATTGTTTCCCATGGTGGAATGGATTATGTTGTTCACTCTTTCATACTACTTTTTTTATTTTTCCAATATGCGTTTGACAGGTGTGGTATTGAGAAACTATATATGAGATTGTGATCGAGAGCAGGGCAAATTAGCCTATTTCTTCAACCAAAGAACGGCTTTATGCCATCAAAGTGACTTGCTGCAACCTTAAGCATGCAGCCCTCCTATATGGAGGTTCCTTCATGAACAAAAATAAATGCAAAGGTAGGTTCTTGCAGACAAATGATCATTCTCGAATCAAGCATTCTTTTTTGAGATTGGGAGGTTTACTCATTGAAGCAGTCTAGATGAGTGTATTGAGCGAACTATACATGCATTTAAATCTTTTGCTAAATGGTCTTATCCAATCAAAGCAACTAACTGCTCCCTCAAGCCTGTCGTTCTCACATAAGCCCTTTTATGAAAAATCATAAATGCAAAGGTGGGCTTCTGTAAAATAGGACCATTTTGAATCAGAAAATCTTTAGTTTTTCTGGGAGTTTTACTCATCAAAGCTATGTAGAACTCATCGGATTCTAGATAGCTTGGATTCCAGATTGGTTGGATTGTTGTTTGATGATCTTCTCATACACAATTTCGTAATATGCATGGTATGCAAGATGCATTCTATCCTATTTATGTGTATCAACTGGCTTGCTCTTTACACTTGTATAGCACATATCTTTTCGAGAACAAGTACTATAATTTTGCAATAATTCCAACTCCAAACGTGTCAAATCCTCAACTTATTTTGGAAATAATGATATTTGAGGGGGCATGGTGTTAAAAAAACAAGATGATATTGTTAGCACCATTTTTGGTTCAACCTAGAACATAAACTAGATAAACCTTGAGTCATCACATAGGATCCACCTTGGCCTTATTAGCCTTTGGGTGATGGTAGCTAGGACTTGGAAGCCACAAATCTAGTCCAAGCCTGCTGGCCTCTTGTTCGCTAAGAGAGCCATTAGGTTGCACTGGCCTAGGTATACCATGCATCATTGAACAATATTATGAGTTTTGTGAGTTGCATCGTATTCATTATCATGTATGACATTGTATGCGACAAATGAAATGCTAAGTTGACCAAAGTGTTGTGTAGATTTGTGTGCATGAATTTTGTCATGCGTGTAATTTTTTCTCATATAAAACTTTTTAATCGGGACCTTGTTTCATAAAATAGATCACACTATTTTGTCTAGATCATCAACATGGTCTAAGTGGCTTGTGTGCATCATTTGTGGATGTGGTTTGGTCATGTATTGGAATGATTATTCTTTTTAGATCAAAGAGGATGATTTTGCCCCAATAATTATTTTAAAATTATAAAAAATATTAAAATAGAAACAGTATTTTATTATTATCCTGAATCCAAAATTTAGTTTTAAATAAAATTTGAGCTCAAATTCGAAATCAAATTTGCAATTTGAGTTAACGTTAATCAAAATGAAATAAAATTACAGTTTTCCCAAAAATCAGCACCTCACTATCTTTGGTATGATTTTCTCATATCTTGTTGTAATTATATGTTTTCGGAGTTGAAAAAGAAATAAAATTCTCTACAACATTCTTGTTTTCCACTTCAACCAATTTCCACGAGATAGGTCTCAATTTTTCAAGAAACGTAAATGAAAAATCTAAATTTAGAATTTGTTTCATTATTTTTGAGTCTTTCTCATTCCTTGTTAGAATCTTTTGATATTAATATCATTAAAAAGCTAACAAAAATTCTCTACAACTTTCTTGTTTTCATTTAGCTCGATTCTGACACAATCAATTGCAATTTTTTCTGCTAAATGATAAAAATTAAAAAAATTATATATATATATTTATATATCCTCTTCCAAGAAGTCATAATTACAATTCTCATGGTGAATGCTAAAGGAAACTGTTACGAAGGTTCTGTTTGTACAGCAATTAAAGAATCAAATGAGAATTGCAAGATGGCACTATGAATTTTCCCAAGTAGGGTGGTGGCTTTGGGCGATTGATGATGGAAATACCTACAATAAGAACATGAAGGGGTCAATTTATTAAACTTGAATTGGATAAAAAAGAGAATAAAAAAAACATGAAGGGGTTGGAAGTACACTAATTAGACATTAGCACATGAATTCTTCCATTCTTATTTCACCAGATAAATGAAGTTAAATTCAGGGGAAGTCATTGGTTATATTTATTTAGTTCTTGACATTTTCCTTTTCGGGATAATTTAGTTGCTTTTTGTTAGAAAATATGATTTAGCAAAGGATGAATTTCTCAGATTTCGTCAGTTGGTAATATGTAATTTGAAACCAACTTCAGTTTAAACTCCACAAACCATTTATAAGTGATGATTTTGTTTCATATAAAATGAGGAGCTCAATCAATAGCAGATAGCTTTTGGATTGACAGCTGGTTGTCGAAAGTCCCATGCTCGACTTTTGGTGGGCTGGAGGAATGACAAATGGTGAATTGAATGGAAAAAATGCTTTTATGCATCTAATTGCTTCTAAGAATCATGATTTGAATTTCATAATAAGATTACTTTCTGGTAAGCAAAGTGATTTGTTTTTAAATTTGCAACATCTCAAAGTGCATGCTTTGTAGTTCGTTGTAGATTTTGTTTTGTATCCAACAACATGATTAATTTTCTCTCACTAACAAGGAATATGGAAGCTGCACTTACCTTTAATTTTTTTGTTACTAAGTAGATCCTAATTGTAGAAATTACTTTTGTTTATTTATTCCATATATTATATTAATCTTTCTTTCTAATTTCAGGTTGTTCGAGACCCACGATTTGAATCTCTATGTGGAAACCTTGATACTGAACGGTATAATTCATACTATTCTTATTCTCATTTTTCCCTGGCAACATGGCATTTTGTTTTACTTGGAGATTTTCCATTTATGTTTGGTTGGTTTTCTAGAATATCACATATTTTATCTTGCTTGGTTGAAGCTTTATTAATTGTTTTGGCAATACCTTATTTGGGTTAGTTTTGGAGCGTTGAAATTGCATTATTGCCTTGCTTTTATGTGGTATATCTCAGCTGGAGTAATGGCAACCCTTTCTAACAAAACACTGAAAATCTGTTGATGCATGTCAAATAACAAATGGAATTTTTTATTAAAGAGTGGGACTAGGAGAGTTTAGCACATTGTTTTTATAATTGTTTTGCAAGTTGTTCTAGACGTGAAACACGTCTTCAAGTTTGATACTTTTACTTGCATGTTCTATGAGTGCTGTTAAAATGTTTATCTTAAGTGATCAAATCAGTGTATAACCATGCAAACTGTACGTATCAAAAGAATGGATCTTTTAACACTCTAAATTGTATCTCTCTCTGGATGCTTCTTTTTTTTTTTGAATTTTGCATTCTGAATTTATATTTTTTACATGATTTGTTCCTTTTAACTTCATACTGTATCTGTGAAGCCTTTTTAGTAGATCTGTATATCAATGTTTTGCAGGAGTTTTAAACATAATGAGACGAGGTATATAAATTTTGCTTTTTGTTAGTATTCAATTTTAATGTGTGTTTAGTCATTTCTAAGCTGACAAATAAACATTTCATAGCCAGTCTGTAGCTTAGGTAAATCTAGAAATGACTGGCACTGATTGACAGCTTTCTTTGCATAAATTGGCCATCAGCAGGTTACTTTATTGTGAATGTCTAATTAGAACAGAAAAACATCAAAATAGTCTCCAAATTATTATTATGTGGTCAATTTAGTCCATGGTATCATGCTGCTTCAATTTAATCCTTCGATTATACAAATTCGATTCAAAATGATCCCTCATTTTGTAATTGTGATATAGAATTGATCCTAATTTAGTCCATCAACTATATAAAATTGGTTCCAATTTAATCTCAAATGGATCATTTTGAATCAATTTTGTATAGTCAAGAAGCTAAATTGCAACAATATATGAATAATCGGTGGACTATTTTGAAATTTACTCATTATAAAAATGTTGGGAAGCGGTGTCGAACTTCTGATTAATGACAATATATTGCAGAAGCCATAAGGGATTTCATTTCCTATAGGGTATGTTTTTATATTCAGTAACATAGAGCTTTTTAATGAAAATCTTCATAACGTTGATTTATTTAGTTTATATTTATCTTCCGGTACTCCCTTCCAATGTTTTTTTACCAATCTTTTCACCTGCGCATGCTATTGATATATTTTTTCCTTTAATACTAATAAAAATGGGTGCAAAGCTGCTTCCATAATTGAAGCCATTAGACATTATTTTGTTTGTATTGATATCTCTCAACTCAGAATTGAAATGGGAGAGACACGATACATAAATTGATGTTGTAAAATTTTAGCCAATATTTAAGATGAATAATTGAAACAATTAGTTTAGATGGAAAGACACTTCTTCCTCAGCAAAGTTGGTAGAAAATTTGTTAAAGAATTTATTTTTCTAAATGGATTAAGATATTTTGTGATCAAGCACGATATATAAAATAATATATTATCTTGAAAGACAAAATATTATTTCGTTATGGACTCAATAACAAAACTCACAATTTTAATTTTAAAAGAATTTTTTTCTATTCAATATTTGGTTGAATATGATTTATTTTATTCTAGAGTATAGATGCCCCATAAGGGCAAACCCTTATGATTAATTACATCTCAAATATTTTTTACTTGAGAATACTTTTAAATTTTAATTAAACTGATGGTTTTCTTTTGAGGATCATCAAAATATTGGCTAATCTTATCATTTTGAAAATTTATGAAATTTTTACTCAAAGATTTGGTCTTTGAGGATTTTAAGGATGATAAAATCAACTTTAAATCAGATTTTTGAATAGAGTTAAGGAAGGAAAATGAGAATGTAGGAGTAGTTAATTATGAGAAAACTTAGGGTGCGCAAACTATCATATATTGGACTTTATATTTTAAAATCAGTTTTTTATTTAAAATGGTAAATTTAACTTAGAATGTTGGGGCTTATATTCTAATAACACACATTGGAGAAAATGCTTTGAAGGCCAGAGCTTATGAAGTGATTGAAGTCAACAACAACTTCATATTCTAGAACTAAGGTAATGATTACTGAGGGATATTATGTCGAACCTAAGTCTAGCGCAGTGCAAGGGACTTACAAACTACATCTCATATGAGACATAATTGGCCCGACCTATGGATTTATTTCCCTACTTGAAAAGGGTTGCCAGCTAAACCCACATAATTGCTTTTAAAATCATGTAGTCTGGTCTTAATGCATGTGAAGAGCAGATAAAACTATTTTGCTTAGAAAAATTTGCATGGTTCTTTCCAAGGAGCCAATATTTCAAAAACTAAAATGATCATATAGGGCTAAGTATGTCTCCTGTAAAAAGCCTTCACTTAAGGAACATATAATAAAAATTTTCATTTTTTTGAGTCAGCATTGTGCATATCTACATGGTTAGGCATCTTGGCTCTAAAACCAAGTTATAACTCCTATCTAATAAGATAGTCATCCCCTACTCTTCATATACATTAAGACTGGATTACATGATTTTAAAAATGATTATGCGGGTTTAGATAATAACCATTTTTAGTTAGGGCAATATATCCGGAGGTTAGGCTGACTTTGTCTCTTGTGAGGTGTAGTTTGTAAGTTCATTGTGTTTATGTTAGACTTAAGTTCATGGCACTACCCCTCAGTAGTCTTCATCTTAGTTTTATGATTCGAGGTTATTGTTGACTTCATTCACTTCATATGACCTTCTAGACATTTACTCAAATATTTGTTGTTAGAATAAAAGCCACAATATTATAAGTTAAATTGATCAACTTAAACAAAAATTTGATTTTAAAATATAAAACCTAATATATAGCACTTCTGAGTTGTTTCAGAATCAAGTGCTCATACGTTCCAATTTTCTTTCTTGGCTCTCATTTAAAAATCTGATTTAAAGTTGATCTTATCGTTCTTGAAATTTCCAAAGACCAAATATTTGAATAAGAATTTTATAAAATTTTAAAATGATAAGATTAGCCAATGTTTTGATACTTTAAAAAAGAAACCACTAGTTTAATCAAAGTGTTTTCAAATAATAAATGTTTCAGATGTAATTGCCCCTATGGGGCATCTGTATCCAGAATAAAATAAACTCTATTCAACCAAATATTGAATAGGGAAAATCTCTGTTAAAATTAAAATTGTGAATTTTGTTTTAGAGTTCATATCAAAATAATATTTTTGTCATTCGAGATAATATATTATGTTCTATGCCATACTCGATCACAAAATATCTCAATCCGTTTAGGATGGCAAAATTTCTCTAAAACCCACTCTATTATGTACAAATTACATTCTTTTATAAAAACCTAATTCAAAACCCAAGTTCAAGTTCTTAGAATTAATAATGTGAAATAATATTTCCATGTCATTATTGGAGGATATCTCTAACAACAAAATTTTCACCAAACTTTTCGTATCAATATTATTGTACAAATTGTGAGCAGAAAGAAAAAAATAAATACTTTCTTGAGATTGTTAATAATGTTCTAAAATATTATTGGTGGAATCCTAAAAATTAAAGCTCCTTGTCAAACTTTCTCCCAGTAATATCGCTAATGTTGAGTTATAACCAACATTCCTCCTAAAGTGTTTGGTTACTCTACTTTTGTCCATATTCCTCTTTATCAGAGAAGCTAATTAGGCCCGAAGACATTAAATTTTATTATTATTTGTTACTCTCATCTCTGACAATGTTACAATTGTTTTTCTTCTTTGAAAATCAATCTGTCTTAAAACTAGCATTCAAGGGGAAAGCATTGGTGCTCGCTTTATGAATATGAGTTTTGCTATAATAAAAATCTTGTTGTATTGGTTTGCCAACCAACTCCTCTTTCAAACCTACTTGAATCACATCCATTTGAATCTCACTCCTTCAAATATCTAGAAGGGTGAATATCCCATATAATAAGCAATGTGTAAATGCATTATCTATTCTAGATGATAGAAAAAATCAATTGACATGGTAGAGCAAAGCATTTCTCTTGATCCAAAATCAAAATTTGACCCGATTCTTGACATCACTTCACAAGGATACGATAATATTGATTCTGAGGATGATTTAAACATTCCTATGACTGCTTTCAAGTAAAAACACATGAATTTGTGCCAAATGCTCGATTAATCATTATATTTCCTATGACAAATTACCTCCCAAGTCTATACCCATACTACAAATCTTTTAATCTTTGAAATTCCAAATTGTATTCAAGAAGTTTTAAATGCACTTGAATGGATAGCTATGATGCACGGAGACGGTCACGACGACACGGACATGACACGGTTTTTTTTTTTAATATAGGAAACGAGTACGGCACTGACACGACATTACATATTAGCACGACGTGTCTTGTGTCTATAAGCAAATATAAGCAAATAATTACTTACTACAACATAATGCATTCAAGCTTCAACTAATAGAATTAGCTTCAGAGGTTTGTTTTTTGCCTTCAATATCATTATCATTGAATATCATTGCTTCTAACTCTGGTTCATCAAGAGAAAGATTTGCATAGTTCATTGGATATCATTTAATCAAAGTTGGTTCTTCTTTATATATGTTTACTTCTCTAGTTCGCTAGATCTCTACCATAATATTTTTTTATCCTCTAATCTAAATCATAAAAAAATGTATCTATTTACTTCTATACTCTCTAGTTCTCTAGTCATCTCTCATAATAGTTCATTGGATATCATATTATTTATAATTAAAATAATTTTATCATAAAAAATTAGGACATGCGTGTCCCAGCCATGTCTGAAATGTGTCTCAGCCGTGTCCGAAACGTGTCACAGCCGTGC